ATGGATGTGGTCTGGGCACCGTCATGACTCTTCGGCAGATACCGAACAGCTTCGTCGTCATCGCCGTCCACTCCATTGTCTTCGTCGCTGGACTCGACCAACCAGACGTTGCTAGAAGCGCCGCGCAAAGAGCGGCCCTGCTGATGCAAAAAGCCTGCGTGAGACAGGGGGGAAACTTTAGATCTCAGCTTGAAAACAGCATAAAACAGGACATACCTAGGCAAAGCAACCCAGCGTACATTGTGTCCAAGACTCTCTTCATCTTTTTGGTCCACGGAGAGTCCAAAGTACTCAGCGGGCTTGGAGGACGCGACGCCACCGCGTGGTCACAGTAGCAGCGAAGAGTCTTGGGGCTGGGTAACGGAGAATCCTGGGATTGATTGGTCTTCACAAAGATGATTGACTTCACTTCACACAAAGCCATCGAAAGCTGAGCACAAAGGTAAGTCAAACGTCAAGATAAACTAGAGATGGAACCTTCAAGAACCGAGTCGATCGACCGACATACATGACCTTCCCAATTTTTTAATATCCAAATCTTCGCTGACAAGAAAAAGACACAATACGCAGCCCAGAGACACCACCCAAGTCGCTGGACCGCAGGCGCTTTGTGGCTGGGCTGCGCGCCGTCAAATCTGCTGCCGACATCACAGCCCACTGCCGCTGGCCACTCAAACGGGAAGAGAAGACAAGCAAAGCTGCTGTCAAGAATTTCAAGCCCACACACCGATGAAGACACTCCTTCCACACAGAGTTCCACGCAGTTGCTAGAGTTTCTGAAAAGTGATGTAACGCTTCAAAGTCCAAAGGCCACCTATCTTCGTCAAGCACGGCGTGCACAACGAATCGCGAAATCTCGTCAGTGCACCGAGATCCGATGTCCAAGACAGAATCTAGATACCAACAATCCACTGCGAAGAATGCCTGTAGGGGAGCTGGCCAGCAAAACTTATCCAGTGTGGAGTCAAAGTGGAACGCTAGGCGGAGTAAGAGTACAAAACTCAAGGAGAGCAGGGCCCGAAAGTCTAAATGCCTCATGAAGCCCAAACTTCACGGGTCGAATCGGTATATGAACAAGTGCTCATGTATGCCACACATCTTCGAATAAAGAAACAAAATTAGAACTTGGGTGACAACTGAATGCTGCGTCTCTCCCGCTGCAAGAACGTCGATCGACTATCGGCTTTCTCTGGAAGATATCTTCAAAACATTGCTCCAACGAAAAAGGAACCGCATAGCAACACCTGTCGACAAACACACATAGCAACACCTTCCAACGAAGAAATAATACACAATCAAACCTTTGGTACGCGGAAACCTGTCTATAGACCCTGTCTACTCCCAGTTATCGAACTCTTGTGAACTTATGTACTCCAAACACATTCCATCTCAAAAGCACAGCTTGCACTGAGCTAACATTTTCGCAGCGAAGTTATCGCAGTCAGTGCACGTCTCTACGACTTGACCTCCTTCGGAGTGCCATACATTCTCCTGAGGGTCAAGCCTTTCTCCGCAGGAGACATTTCCTTCGCCTTGGACCACACGCTTGCAGCCTTCGGCTCAATCGTGGCAGGAGCGGCCTTGGCGCGACGAGTCAACTCAGCGACCAGACGCCGCAACAACCCAGCCGGGGCCTGAGTCAAAGCACTGAGATCTTTGATCTCCCAGTGAAGCACTTCATCTTCATCGAGAAGGTGCTGCTGAAAAACACCCGTGAAACCTGACAGTTCAAACTCAACCAATGCATCTCGCATCACTTGGCTCAGCTTGTAAGAACCACGTGCAAGGCTCTCACGTCCAGGTGTGGCAGGCGCCTGGCGCTCTCCTCCTGGTAAAAGGCTGGCTCCAGCCTTGCGCTTTTTCTGCTTGCTGGCCTCTTTCCAAGGTGCATCCAGCCGTATGATGCCTTCACAAATGAAAGCGCAATATAAATGCTCACAGGCTCCTGAACATGTGTCTGGCTTTCTTCCGAAAAAACACAAACAGTTCAATGACAACACATACACAAGTGTCACAGTTCGTCTCCTGCGATGGCCATGCGATCGCACAGCCAACATATGCCACCTACATGCGGCGCAGGTGACTTGTCTTCGCCACCGTCGCGACGCCAATACTGGCAGGCGCCAGGACCCACTTGCACGAGAACATGTTTGTCCAACCACTTGAGAAGCGAAGGCAGGTCTGTCAGCTGCAGGTCTTTCATGACATCACAGACCTCTCTGGCCTCCTCAGCAAAGACAAGAGACCTGCACGCATGTAAGCATCTCTTGGACACAAGAGTCTCCGGCTTCTCCCGCAGCTCCCCGTTCCTCAACAGCTTCCAAAAACGTACGGAAATAAGAACTGGTTGGCTTTACTTCGAATCATCCCTACCACTGTCGAAACCCTACCAAGAAAACACTTCCAATCATATACTAAAGTATCCAAATCAACGTCTTCCTCATGCAATAGTACACTGTGCCATCTTCTGCCTTCAGCCTTTGGTACGCTTTGTGCTCCACGTACACTTGGGCTGCCGTACGCCCGAATTTCTGCAGCGGGCCTTGAATCAAGACACTGTCCCACCTCGTTCCTGGGACATCGTGCAAAAGCTCAGCGTGTCCTGTCAGAAAACGCACGGCCGATACCCACCAGTGGTCAAGCTGTCTGAACATAACCTTAAAAAAATAAAAGCTACACATGTTCTTTCCAAATACATGCCCTCAAAAAGTACAGTCCTGCCATTGCTTCCGCACGTGTGCAGAGGAACCTTCTCAGAGTCGACATGCAGGTCGGGAAGGTCTGCCGGGATGAGTCATTTCTGCCCTTCAACCGATGTTTGTGCCAGCTTTCTTGGCTCTGCGAACCGGAGTTGCTTCCGGGCTGGGTCCTGTCAGCCGCAATGCGCCAGGAAGCGTCCAAAGCTGAGCGGTTCTGATCAGTGTAGTACTTTACCAGATTTTGTGCACACTTCGACTCCCCACGCTCTTCAAGAAAGGCCAGCAAAGTGGACCACACATAGTCGAAAAGCGCATGTGGGAACGTCCGCGAAGCGAAGACAGCAGCTTCAATCAAAGTCAAGTGCTCCTCTTGTCGCAACCAAACGCGACAATTCTCGAAGATTCCCAGCCGCCACTTGTGGCAAATATCTGCATCAGCACCTGTGCTGCTTGTCTCTGAAGGAGAAGCGCGACCAACTCGGCTGGCCCCTATCAGATGACTAAAATCTGTGCAGCGCAGACTGTTGCCAAAGACTCGCAAACGAGCTCGCTCGAGACCCAAATGTGCATCCCCATGCACTTGCCGCACATTGGCTCTGATGTCCTCAGATAAAGGATGGACACGTTCTCTTCCCTAGATTTACAAGCAGTTCCCGGGTGAGCCGGCGGCGGAAGTTTCCTATAAAAACCAAATGACCTCTAGGAGTTCCCGGCTCTTTCCAACATGCGTGTCCCTCAGCCAGACGCATGCGCTTCGGACTTTTGACCAACAAAGCGCCACTTTGGAGCTAGAGCTGTTGAAACTAGAGCTAACTGAGGCACAGATATTGAAACTACAACTAACTGGAGCTGGAGCTATTGAAACTAGAGCTAAATGGATGATGAGTGGTGTTTCATGAGTGGTGTGAGATGAGTGGTGTCTGATGACCGGTGTACGATGATGTTGACTGGTGTAAGCACGAAGTGTATGATGAGTGGTGTATGATGAGTGGTGAGTGATAAGTGGTGTATGATGAGTGATGTTTGATGAGTGGTGTATGATGAGTGATGTATGATGAGTGATGTATGATGAGTGATGTATGATGAGTGGTGTATGACGAGTGGTGAGTGATAAGTGGTGTATGACAAGTGATGTTTGATGAGTGGTGTGTGATGAGTGATGTATGATGAGTGGTGTATGATGAGTGGTGTATTGAACAGCTGTTGAATGTCCGTAACTCGGAAGTTTTGCACACTACACTTCCTTTGATGATGTTTTTGGGGAGGAACTCGAAGTTCAATAGCCCCCAAACACTGTACATTTGCAAGAAAGAGAGAGGAAGAAAGAACGAAAGAAACCCAGGAATCAAACAACAGGTGTGCTATCTGTTGTACTCACGACTTGCATCCGCCCATGCTGGCTACTTGCGCAGTGGCTTCCGCAAGCTTCAACGACAGCAGTTTGGCCTTGCGCAGGCAAGTTGGAGTTTACAAGTTTGCTGAAACTGTTCCTGGTAGGATTTTGACGCTGCTCCACTCTCTCCGGTGCGTCTTACAGCTACCAAGCGCCCCGGACACAAGTCAATGAGTCGCGTGTGCCGGTGCGGCTTACAGGTAGCACGCGCCCCGGAGCCTCCGGTCAATCAAATCTGTCATCAAATCTGTCCGGTGCGCCTTACTGCTACCAAGCGCCCCGGACACCAGAAATGAGTCGAGTGTGCCGGTGCGGCTTACAGGTAGCACGCGCCCCGGAGCCTCGGGTCAGTCCAATCTATCCGGTGCGCCTTACGCCCCGGAGCAATCCAGTCAAGCAAGTCTGTCCGGTGCGTCAGAAAACCGATCTACTATCTGTTATACGCACGACTGGCTTCCGAAAAGGCTGGCTAGCGGTGGCTTCCGCAAGCTTGAACGACTGCAGTTTTGGCTTGCGCAGGCAAGTTGGAGTTTACAAGTTTGCTTAAACTGTTCCTAGGAGGATTTTGACACTGCTCAACTCTCTCCGGTGCGTCTTACAGCTACCGAGCGCCCCGGACACAAGTTAAAGAGTCCAGTGTGCCGGTGCGGCTTATAGGTAGCACGCGCCCCGGAGCCATCGAGAGTGAGTGCAACATTTGCACTACGTCTGATCCAATCATACGTCACGAACACACGCACTGCTGGGTTCGATACGTCTCTGCTACATCTGATATTCGGAACAACAAACTCTTAATAGTCTGGGTTTTGAGGCAGTATGTCATGCTACCTTCTTTACGCCAAAGTTGTAATGTCACCTTGGCTTTGGTCAACACCCTTGACTCCACACTAATGCAAACGGGGCACAACCTCACCGAACTGAGCCACCACGTTCACCAAAGCAGAGAAGAGCAACGAATACACTTCTGTGTTCTCCTTATGCGCAATGGCCAGCACCAACTCATTGAACTGCGTCGTGAATCCTTCCTCAGGCTCGCCAGGGTGCGCATGTCTGCCAAAGGTCTTGGACAGAAACCCTGCCGACACAACCACATAGTCTCCTTGAACCATTCTGTACGTTCCATCGGCGCACACTTTCAGCCACTGCCAATTCGCCACTCTCTTTGCAGTCTCTTGCACCAGCTTCGGACACGCAAAGACCAGGCATAATTGCTCATCTATTCTGTGATCCACCAACACCAGCTCGTCAGAGACAACAGCATCTTCCAAAGCCGGAAGCTCCCGCACCAAGCACTGGAAATCAGCCGTCACCCAGTCCTCACGCTTGGCCACGCGGGCATCCTGGCGATGCCGCTTCTTCCAATTGTCAATGTATGTCTTCAACTTTGTCTCCAACTTGTCTGTGACCTCGAGGTCTGGAAACTTCTCTCGCAACATCTCAACCAGCTGCTGCATGCGATAAGAGGTATTCTGTCCCAAGTACTCCTGGATGAACATCTTGTGACCGGCCAAGAGCGAATCCTTGCGCCCTCCGTACACACGATCCATCGTGTGCTTGTCCGCGTCGGTGGCGATCAGCTCCAAGACCTGATGTCACTGCCGTCCGACGCTCTTTCTCTCAGACTTTTCACTCACATTCTGTCGCTTCTGTCTCACCTACATTTCCCGCTGGATTTCTGGACTCTGAACATCTGACCTCTGCTAGTATAACCCCTACAGATGTGTGATACATTGCATCCAAAGAACCTCAGATGTGACATCGTAGGTACCAACCCCTCAGAAGTTGCAGTTCAAGCACGAAGCACAATTCCAGGTGTACCGGTAATGATCCGGACGGTTGTCATGTTGAGATAATCGAATATCGATCAGCTGACCACTCACCTGAGAAGCCCACTTGCGGATCTCCTCCTTCACACCATCTCTATCCAGCGAACTTCTGCTCAAGCTCGCTTTGCATTTCCAGCGTGTGGTCGCAGCGGGCTTCTTCAGGTGCTTCTTCGCACATGGGCGCTTCATACAGCGTGCTGAAAACAGAGGTTTGAAACTGCAACGAAAAGGGTCTTCTTCATTAACACCTGAAAACATGAAGACGTTTGAATGAAAACACTAGTCCGGTTAAATCATGCAAGATGTTTCAGCGTGGGTGTGTTGATTGTGTAGTGAATGTGCACAACCAGGACTGGAAAGTGTTTTGACATCACAATAATCTGTCTCTCAGTGTCTTTGGCGCCAGTGCTAGGTGACTCTGTTCTGGCAGAGCCATCCAAACCAAAACTGCACCACAAACGCAAGTGTTCCTTGCATGTTCATCATTCCAAAAAGTTGGAAAAGTCACAGAGAACACACGTACAAACTCGGTTGTCGATATTCTACAGGATTCTATTCCGTAGTAAGAGTCGTAGTAGTAGAAGCAGCAGCAGCAGCAGTAGTAGTAGTAGTAGTAGTACTGGTAGTAGTAGTAGTAGTAGCAGTAGTGGCAGTAGTAGTAGTAGTGGGATGCACTACTAGTAGTGGTGGTAGTAGTAGTAGTAGTAGCGCTAGCACTAGTAGTAGTGGGAGTAGTCAGCGTCGTAGTAGTAGTAGTAGTAGTACTTATCCGATGTATCATACAGAGGCATCGGTCTTGGGTTTCCCTCATCGGCTTTCAATGTATGCTCCATGGAAGACCTCGGTCTTGGGTTTCCCTCATCGGTTTTCAATGTATGCTCAGTGTAAAACCGACCAACCTAAAGCGTTTGGTGACGACATGTTCGGACAGTGCTCAAAGGTCAAGTGTACAAGCGACCATAATTTCAAGTGCACAAGCGACCCAAATTTCCAGTGTACAAGCGACAGCTCGCCCTCAGGTGTTCATTCCCCAAACTATATGTGTTTCCTGTAAATGTCCCTTCAACCAATTCTGAGACCGTGCAAAGCCAAGGGAGACAAAAACATATGAAAAAACCACTGGCCAGTTCTTGGACTAGGACCAAAATTGGGTCACAAACCTCCCAAGGGAGGTGAGAACACCTGAAGCATTCTGAAGCCAGTCTGGAAGTCTGAGAAATCAACAGCAAGACCTGATGGAAAGAGACCGTCTCCATATACCAGCACCTTCATTTCACCAATGGCAGCCCCTACACGACTGAGGGACCTCCATTGGACACCCGCAGGTCCAGGTCCAGTATGTAATACAGTACCAGGGCCCCCTAAGGGGTGGTTAATGGATACCCCTTAACCTCTAAGGAACTGTAATTAGACACCCCTTATTGGTTCCTGGTAGATGTTCTTTCCCCAAGTTCCAGGCCTACGCGGCCATAGAATTCGTTCGCACCTGTTAAGAAACATGACATCTCAAAGCTGATGGTCCCGTCGTTCCGAACGGGCAACCCTTTTTTTTCGGATTTTTTCCAACGCGTTTTAGTAATTCTTTCCGCACTGTTAGTGGTCAGGGGTTGCCACAAAGAGAAAAAGAAAGAGAGAACTAGCGCAGGAGGCAAGGGACAGAAGAGTAGAAGGAGAATGAGAAAAAGGAAAAGGAGGAAAAGAGGGAGGAAGAGAAGGAGAAGGAGAAAGAGAAGGAGACAAAGGAGAGAGGAGAAGGAACAAGAGAAGGAGAAGGCTCTTCCCGCTGCATCCTTGCAGATCACAATGCAATATACAGTATACACCAGCCATGTGAGAATGGTAGCGCTTACCGGCAAGTCTGAAATATAAAATGTATGTCCATGCATGCATATGTCTATCTACGTACGTGTATGTATGTAAGCTTGTCTATGTTTGTGTGCGAATGTACGTGAATATATGTGGATGTGTATGGGCATGTGTGTTTCTATGTATGTATGTATGTATGTATGTATGTATGTATGTGTAAGTAGGTAGGTAGGTAGGTAGGTAGGTAGGTAGGTAGGTAGGTAGGTA